ATTTATAATATTTATAAATTTAATTGCCACGGGATCCTGGAAGTGCCAAATATTTATAATATTTATAATATTTATAAATTTCGGGCCTCCAAATTTATAAATATTATAGATATTATAAATATTTATAATATTTATAATATTTATAAATTTAATTGCCACGGGATCCTGGATGTGCCAAATATTTACAATATTTATAAATTTTGGGCCTCTAAATTTATAAATATTATAAATATTTATAACCACGGGATCCCGGGAATGCCAAATATATACAATATTTAAAATATTTATAGATTTACTTGCCACTGGATCCCAGGAATGCGAAATATTGAAAAATATTTATAATATTTATAAATTTGGAGGCCCGAAATTCATAAATATTGTTTTATAGATATGTTTGAATATTTGTAATATTTATAGATTTAATTGCCACGAGACTCCGCAAATGAAACATATTTAATTGTCTTATTTATAAATTTGGAGAACCGAAATTTATAAAGAAAAGTGCAAAAACAGTCTTCGACACATAGGGCGTGTTCTTCCCTCTTACGGCCCCCCCCCCCCCGACGAACAGAATCAACTCTTACAGGACCAAACTCAATGCACAATCCCAACTCCTGATTGTAATACATTTTTGCTAAAGCAAGGAGAACTCAGGTAGCTCAAGCTACCTTTCGTGATAAGGAAATCCAGCAAAAAATGGAATAAAGGATCTCTCCCAGATCCACTTCTTCCCCTAGACTCTACTCCGCCACTCCAGGAGTAGGCCTTAGCCCAAGAGGATATCGGTTCAGTCACATCCAATCCTCCCCGCCACACCGGGCACATGAAAGGACCTCATAACTGCGTTCAAAAGCTAGAGAAACATCCAGCAATCGCTCTTCACGAATCTTTTGTCTGGTGTCTGCGACGCGAACCTCACCTTTAATTAGGGCCGTAACAGCATTGCTGTAACGAAGTCCTAGGTGTTTTTACATGTTCAAGCCCTTGAATTTCAAGGGTACATAAGGGTACGTGCTGGTGCGGCGGTTCCAGTAAGAATTCGGTGCGTGAAAGGTGCGTCGGGCAATGCTTTCGAGGTGGCCAGTCCGATGGTGCTGGACCTTGCCAGAAGGTATCTGGACCCTCCTGGCACCCACCCCAGTCCCACCGTACCTGAGGTTCGGTATGACTGGAGCCCTAGGGATCACATATTTTCGGCCAAGGGGCGGCAGGAGTTCAGCAAAAGCCACTTGGGCACATCCAGGATCAGCTGCCCGCTGCCACCTCAGTGCGACGCAAAAATGCGTCATGACGCATACGAAAGGCGAGCAGGATCCACATACTTACCCTCTGAGGTACGGTGATTAGAGACGACCCTTAAAGAAAGGCGCCACGAGGGACCAACGACCTTCTGAGAGGGTATGTGTATCTGAGAGGGTATGCGTATTGAATAGGACACATAAATACACTCGACACAGATTTCATTGAAATTGATTGAAACTGAACATCGTCGTGTTCATCCTGCTGTCATCCAGTGAAGATGCTATGATGTGCTGCTGCTGCAGGTTTTCTGCACACACCCACCGATCCTTGGATTCTGGGCCAAGAACATATCTCAACATGTTGAATACAGGCAGGAGATCTTGGGGTGACCCTCCGTGACCCTCCTGTCCCAAGATCTGCCTCATTTCTACCAGCGCCTTCACCTGGTCGCAGCCTTCCGCCTTCGTGTGCACCACCAGCCCCACCTTCGAAAAAGGCCTCGAGGACCCCCCCGGTTCACCTGCAGCCTGAGAGGCCCAGTTCAGCAACAATGCGGGTTTGAACCTGGTTCAAGGAAGTTCCGATCGGTGCGATTGGAGGTCAGAGGACAGAAGAGGACTGAAAAAGCAAAATGACATGTGATGGCATGTTTAAGGGCGAAGGGTTAGGAGCATCACTGCATTGAGTTCCAAACCTGGACCTCCGTCTCGAAGGTGGTTGGGGTGGGTGCCGAGGTCCTATTAAGTGTAAAGAAAAGGTGGACTCCCAGCTTGTTGGGCTTATATACATGGCATGTACTGGCAAGAAACAATCTATATATATATATATATCACTCAGGGGCAAACATGTAATTAAAGGGTCATCAGACTCATCAAAAAGCATCAAAGGCAGGCAAGTATAGAAAAGTCATATGATTAGATATGATTAGTTCATATTAGTTCCTAGTGCACCGGAAAATGCAGTGGATGATTCTAGAAGATGGTCAGGCAGCTGACCGGAGCATCAAGCCAAAGCATCGACACGTGTCTCTCTGCGTTTTTGTAAGCCCGAAAGAATCCCAAGATATCCCAAGCGAGTCGGATCGGATGTCCGCCGGTCTTAGTGGTGCTTAGTAAAGACCCTCATGAAAGGTGAAGGTGTTGAGAAGCACCTGAGCACCTGCAATAGGTCCAAACCCTCCAGTTCGGAAGGTCAAAGACGCTTAGGGCAAGGATCTCAGCCCACCTTTCACCTTTCCACCCGTCGTCGTCCAAACGGACTTGGTGAACTGGAACCGGAGAGCGTTTTGGAGGAGCTCTTTCCCAGCCCCTCAAAACCTAGGACCTACAAGAACCCTAGGGATTGGTGGCCTCCCCAAACCCCAAACACTTCGGGAGCCGATCAAGTCGCGGACTTCGGGACGGTCGATCAAGTCTCCTGTCCATTCCGGATCTGCCACATGTGTCACCACTCTGTCTGAGCTGCCTCTGGGATGACCAGCAAATGGATGCATTGACCTGGATCCATGGATCTATGGATCAGAAAAGGTGTCACAGGAGCTTTGGATCAAGAAGGACAGGGGACTTCACAGGAGATATCACCCATCACCTTAGAAGTTTATAAGCTAAGCTAGACTTGATCAATGTGATGAAATCCTTCAACAGTCACATGGTTTGCTGGTCTTTGGGGTACCATTTCTAAGGGATGATGTTGTACTTCCGTAAAGCTACTCCCTTGCTCCATGGTGTCGTCTGCGGTAAATGCTGCCTGTCGGTCGCGCAAACGATGACTAGATTCAGATTATCATTCTGGTTGCACTGATGAGGCTTGCCATTTTGGACTTCAGGGTAGCAGGAGACGCTGCCTTCCAAGGCGTTGCAGAAAGTGCTTCTTTTAGATCCCACCTTTCAATTCTGAACCTGTTGGTGCGCTCCAAGTTATGATTTGATCGTCACATGTACACGTAGTACTATACATGCATCATTTTCTGGGTACTTTGGAAGGTCTACAGTGGCTACCCTGTCTAACTATTGACTTTCTATTAGAGCCAATGACTTCGGAATACTCCCGAGAATGGTCAGGAATCTGGAGTATCTGTCACTTGGACAACGAACTTCGATGGGGGCCAACCTACTATTGACCACTCAAATCAAAGCTTTTCAGACAGTTTAACCTCCCCCACCTTGACGCTGGCCATCACCGCGTCTGCTCCCCACGTGTCGACCTCCTCGACCTTGATGGGTCGACCGACCGTCTGCCTTTCGCCCCCGCCTTTGCCCACCTTGCGCATGCGGAAGGCGCCTTGTGCATAGTCCCTGAAGTTCATGTCCTGTGGGAGGTCTACGACTCGCCGCGGGTAGCGCGAAAGCAAGTGGTGGGAGGGCCACGACGAGGCCAAGGGCCAAAGAAGTGGTTTGTGAACTGGAATATCGGATAGACTAGATATAATTGGTAGAAACATCTTGTTGAGCTGGTGCTCTTCCCTTCTGTTTTCAAGATCTGCACCTCGTTTTGAGGCCATAAGAGGCACTGAAATAACCCTGACCAGTCCTTTTCTCCATCATTTTGAGTCCCTCTCTTTCTCTCACACTCTCTCTCTCTTTCTTAGAAGACCTATAGTGGATTGAGAGTAGATGGCACAGACCCCAATGTCGGTGGTTTAGATGAACTCCTGGAGGTCTGAGAGGCGGTTTATATGAACTCCTGGAGGTCTGTGCCATCTACTCTGAAACCACTGTAGAAACTCCTGGAAGGGAACCCTCGTTGCCTTCCCAACGGTGAGCACGGCTTTGGCACAAGGAGCCGCCAGGATGTCCATGCCCGTGGTATGCACCTGAGGCAGAACGTGCTCCAACGGACCGATGGAACCAAGGGCCTCTTTGGACATGCTTTTGGCCGGGCAGCGCCTCATCTGCGCACACAGATTTGGCTCATCTGCGCACACACATTTTGTTAGCACTTGCGCCTCATCTGCGCACGCAGATTTGACTCATCTGCGCACACAGTCCATGGGGGAGACTCAAGTGCGCACACAGGCCCTTTCCCGGATGTTTGCTTAGTTAAAAGGGTCGTCAAGATGGAATGGCCACTTCCTCCTCTAAATTTTAACCCTCGGGTGGCTCACCAAAGGGTGAGTCAACTTGGAATGACCACTTCCTTCTCTAAATTTTACCCCTGCCTTGCCCACAAAAGGGTGAGTCA